TGAAGGTCATCCTGTGATCTGTAATGTTTTACATCTTTGTCATTTGGTCTTTCGTTGCTACATTGTAGTTATCAGATTTGTAATCAATTCATTTCTTTTTTTTAAATAAAAGCAAAAAATGACACAAATTTATAGATGTAGACCTGGAACTAAGTGCGTAAGTACATTTATCACTTTAAGCATTGCATATCAAAATAAAGATGGCACAACAATTGATGAAAATATAAATACACGGGAAATACATGAATATTATTACGATTGAACGCATCAATCGATGACAATATTGATTAAGATGTCACGTATGAACCGTTTCATATTAATTCACGAATATCCCAACAAGCATTAAAACCTTTGATATGTTAGATGTTTCTCATAAACAAATCAATTTTGTTGATTATATCCGTAATTAACAATAACAGCTTTGATTAACTCTGGAAAATGCCATATAAGTAGAATGATAAAAAGTAGCGGAAAGGCACGTTTTACTGTATTAGGTGAGAAAGGTTAATTATTAAAAAAAAATATGGACCCAAAAAGGAAATTGAAGTTTTCATCACTAGAGACAATTGTCATTGTTTATTTTGGAACGTAAATTAAAACTGTCTTATTTCCATAATTTGATCCAAAATGTTCGACAAATTAAGATAAAGTAGAAAAACAATATTCAGAAAAGGAAAAGCACTTCATTTAGAAAGCTTTTTAAACATCTGTTATTTATTTATTTATTTATTTATTTATTTATTTATTTATTTATTTATTTATTCATTCATTCATTCATTCATTCTGTTCATTCATTCATTCATTCGTTCGTTCGTTCGTTTGTTCGTTCGTTCGTTCGTTCGTTCGTTCGTTCGTTCGTTCGTTCGTTCGTTCGTTCAATCATTTTTTCTATCATTCATTCATTCATTCATTCATTTATTCATTCATTCATTCATTCATTCTGTTCATTCATTCATTCGTTCGTTCGTTCGTTTGTTCGTTCGTTCGTTCGTTCGTTCGTTCGTTCGTTCGTTCGTTCGTTCGTTCGTTCGTTCGTTCATTCATTCATTCATTCATTCATTCATTAATTCATTAATTCATTCATTCATTCATTTATTTATATATTTATTTATGTATTTATTTATTTATTTACTTACAAGTACTAATCATGCTAATGTTTATATAGATCTGGATATCTATTGATTCGCGTACTTTTATCAAATACCGTCATTTTCAAGGCAACAAAAGAGGGTAATAAACGGTGGTATGCAGTTATTGTGTTTACCCGATTCCTGAAGTTGTAATATTCCACTGTTCCACGTAAGTGAGTAAAAGAGATCGTTTGCAAGGCGACCCTGAATGTTGTAAAAGAAGTCCAACTCAGACAAAACATAGTGCTTTTGATGTTTTTGTTGACTAAGACTAGCAAAACAAATTTTCATACTGACATTTTTGTAATGTAAATTAAATTTAAACCAACTTAATTTAGCCAATTTACTTTTCGATGAAGTTGTAATACAACTCTAGAATTAATGTGCTAGATTAAATGCTCAGTGACGATTTTCAGAAACCAAAGTGTAATAATAAGTAGTAGGTGACTTCCGGTATATCACGTGTTAAAATACAAAATGTTAATATAGATTGCGAATATGCACGTAGAAAGATGATACGTGTACAATTTTGAATAAAACTTGCCTTCTTGAAGTTGAACTTAAGGTTATATGTAACTTGTTATAACAGTCACTTTGTGTATACGAAAAGTTTTTATAATACATTGAGTAATATTATATTGTTCCGGCAGATAAATAAGATCCCCTACTTGACAATATGTAATCCAGATATTTTACATCTGTCCAGATGTCTTATACACGAAATATTGTTTTTGAATTTACTATTTGAAAATGCGATATTTACTTAGTTAGTTTTTAAGTATATATAGATACCAAAATATATATGTATGACTGCCAATGAGACAACTAACAATATGAAACAACTTAAAAGGAAAAATAAAACCAACTGCCTGATTAATCTTATAACAATGAACGAACAATAAATTTGTAGGAATGGCTTTGGCATAATGAATTTACCGGGTTTTATCATGTTTCCGAGCGGTATCCTCCCTCTTGAACCTGTGATGGTGGTGAATCAACACAATGTGAGATCAAAACGTAAAAATAATTTAGAAAGGGCATTAATCATCAGATCTGAACTAAAATAAAACCAAACCAAACAATATGACGTATCAAACTAACAATACTCTTTTTTGCTAAATTCTAGTGCAATTTTATATTTCAAAGAATAATTAGATAGCAATTGAAGTATTTTGTCTTATTTATTGTCTTATATGTCTCAAATTCGAAGTCTTTTAAAAATAACTCTTTACCAGTCGGGGTCGAACCCAAGACCAATGGCACTGAATATCATTGGTCTACAAACTGCAAAATAAGAACTTCACAATCACAACTAATAGAAAGCGATCGTACATCTACTCAGTAAGTGAAAGCACCCCTACTTTAACCCATCTGAAGAGTCTTTATACCAAACAAATCGATATCCGCTTTCAAACCCATTCTTAACTAAACCAATCTCTTTATTCTCTTCAGATTAATCTGTTTGAGTACCCAGCGTAATAACATAGCATTATATGTCTTCAAAATTCCCCTATACCGGTCAGGTATCAACCCGGGACACCTGGTACAAAAAGTGATTGCTACACCAACAGAGATTAAGAGGTATTCCGCTAGCAAAACTAATGAAGTGCGATTAAGTATATACTCAGTCAGAGGAAACATCGCTACATACACTCTAAGCAAAAACAAAATGTATAAATGCACATTGATGAACACGATGTATTTTAAAATTGAAATCTTTAGGTTATATGAAAATTAAAAACGACAAGATTAATACATAAGCTTCATACATGTGTTTGATTCAAAAAAAATATTCTCTTTCACGATAAGATAATTTTACTTTCAGTTAGCACATCAAATCAAAAATAAAAGAAGCACGTTAAACTCGTTATTAATTCCTAGTTATTTCGAACTCCTTCCATCGAAAAAGATAAGAGAATGAGTGGTCTATCTATGTCTAATTTTTGTTTAAAAATAAGATTGTTTTAAATAGTTTTGATGAAAAAAATTAATGAAAGGAAATGAATTCAACCATGCAATTTACAGATCTAAAACCTAAGACTGATCTTTGGTTCTCCTCGATTTTTTCTGACAAATCATTGTCAATGATATTACCTCAATTAAATCTTTGAATATAATTGAGCATGCAGTCCTTAACGCTGCAAGCAGATTAACAAGTTGAGTTGCTACTACAGAATGATCTATATGGCTAAATTTTCTGGTTTTATATGTAGACCTGCATTCAAATAATCCTGTTTAGTAGGAAAGCTTCTAATATATGGATAGGATGCAACAGTTGTCAACAGTCATCTCTATTCAAACATCTGATGTATACAAATTAGTGAAATGTATGTGTTTATGTTTTCAAAGTTGATAAATGATTTTTCAAATTTTAAAACGACATGAGAATTATCAAGAAAACAAAAGTGACATTTTTCAATGTACATAAATGCATAAAATAAATTGAACATGCATTCATAGGAATGATCCTTTTTATACAAATCGTAATAACTTATACATAATAAACTCATCATAGTAACCAGGATTTTAAGTTTGTACGCCAGACGGACGTTGTCTAAAAAAGACTCATCATAGACGCTCGAATCAAGAATAAAAATGCCAAATACAGTACAAAGTTGAAGAGCATTGAGGACCCTAAATAAAAACAAAACGAAGTATATATTGAGCAAATAGATCTTAATGGTAAAGTTGCAATCATCTTACGGAGGGAACGTTGATTAGTTGACCGTCGTGACATTTCTTTATCACCGATCGATTACCACGGATTTTTCTACTTGTAGACACATGCAATCTCGATTTTTGTCCTTTGCTGTGACATCTCCGATTCCGATAGTTGTTTCCCAAAGCTGCTTGCTAGTGAGGCAGAAACCCTCCGGACCACATTAGTTTACCTAAGATACTGATGATGTTCATGTTTCATAATCTTTGGTTTTTTTCTGATTAGTTATTTGGAGAGTTATGTTTTTCTGTCTTTCTCTAATTGGTGTTTGATCTCCCCTTTTTATTAGCATATCCTTCACATCTAATACTTATTCTCCCCTTTTTATTAGCATATCCTTCACATCTGATACTTATTCTCCCCTTTTTATTAGCATATCCTTCACATCTAATACTAAAATCAAAACTGCACAATATGAAAATTATCGTCTGTAATACTTCAGTGGATATGTTTAATGCATACGTTATTTTGAATCGATGTCTTAACAATTCAATCGCTGACATTCACATTTGTGTTGGATTAAACATGAATTTTATTTTTTATTTTCTTTCAGTTAGGGCTTTTTATTAAATAACAAAGGTGACCACTTTCTTAAGTACAGGGATTTTTGCAGTGCTGTTATTGGTCGGTAAAACAAACATTCATTTTCAATCTTATAATGGAACAGCCCTTATTCGACGTTTTCACGATACTAGCACACGTAGACATTCAAAGATTTATAAAGAAAATAGAAGTTATATTTGTCGTTGTTTTTCAACTGTGATTTTATTTAATCTTTCGAGAAGCTCGTTGAAAATTAAACTCTCAATTGCTGTGTTTGGAAATAAACATTTCAATTGGTGACATGTGATAATAAATATTCGAGTAATGACATAAACAAAATTATTCAAGAGGCGACTTTTGAGAACAAAATATGTTTTAAAGTCGACGTTTTAAATCACGATGATGATTCGACAAACGATTTATTGATAAAGTAGGAGTAAGGTAGTTTATCCATATCCTTACAAGAGATGTGGTAGACTATAAATTCTCTTTGGTCTTTCAAAATGTTTGTTTTGATATTACACTTCGAATGTTTGGCCCATGCTATGATATATTTATTTGATTTGCAGCACCATAAAACTTACGTTTGCTGCACTCCATGTTTCTCATGATCCGAATTGAAAGTAATAGCAACTGCCCATAAACTGTTCCCATCCATCCGAACAAGTCCATTTTTTTCCTGCAAGAAAAAAAATATTCCTGTGACACCTTCCGAGTAAGTATCTAATTATCGGTTGATATTATACTTAAGGACTTATTATGATTTCGTTGTAAGAGGGTTTCTGCTGATGAGGAAGCTACTCCTTCGTGTGTTCTTTACAAGTATAAATCGTCTCTCCAACGGTTTACAGACATATATGGTTGACATTTATGAAACATATTGTTTACAAGTTGAATCAAGCAGGGAAAAATCATAATATTTGGATAAAGCATAACTTGATACATATTTATAAAATTCTATAAAATCAGTTAATTCTCTGAGGACTATATTCCGAAGGGGGGAGGGGGGAAGGGGGGTGTAACGAACAATGAGTTTGACTCGAAATCTAAAATTGCAGAAAACTATTTTGTACCTGATTCTCCCAGTCTTCCCTGTTGTCCCTTTTGTCCATGTTCTCCTAAAATTTGATATGAAAAATTTAACCAATACAACTAGATCAGAATTCCTTAGGCATAGATCACATATATATATATTTTTTTACGAACTATGAAAATTTAAACCCAAAATCAAAAGTATCTTTTTATTTATTCAAGATTTGTTATAGATGAAATATGAAAAACCAAGATAGTTAATGTTCATAGTCAAAGAAGGATATACTTTGTTATGTCTAAAAGAACAATAACAAAATACATGCCAAAAGTAGACAATTTAAGGTTTGGTAATGCTAAAATATAAATATCGACAGCATGCATGTAGGACCATGAGTGTTCATAACTGTACAGCCTAAATATGAAATTATTTTTTCATTTCTTATAAACAATATCAATTATAGTACCAACAAACACAATGTAAAGGTCTACATCAGTAACTGTTTTACATTGATAACCTTTCAGAATAAGTTTATTCAAAGGATCAATATTTTATGACCGCATCTACATTATCCGGCTCTTTAAACATCATTACCGTAATATCTTGCTTAATTGATGATAAATTCTTACGTTAATCATTCTCTTCTAATCAACCATTGCAGTTTTATCTGATATATTTTTTTTAATTCAAATAGCATATTAAGAAGTGAGATGTAGTAATTTTGAAACCAAATCATAAACACTTATAATTAAAAATCAACTTAATTACTGAAACATAAGTTATAATCTTAAAAAAAAATCGAATTTTTTACACTATTATATAAATTATTTGATTTTAATTACACTGAATATTGTCTCAATTTCCAAAGAATATTAAACATGATTGTCAAAAGTCAAATATTAAATTAACTTTTCATCTATTTTGGTTTCAGAATGTGTAAATTTAACACCACAAAATCAATTAATACGATCATGGTATTCGGAATTGTTCATTTTTACCTAAGGCATTTTATTTTTTCAAATTATCATCATATAATGTGTTATTTAAGTTAAAGTATTCCTGTAGCTTCGAACATTTTGTCAAAAGAATGAAAACTGATGAATTGGAAAAATTGTTTTCTTTAATCAATGAAGTAATTTTAGAAAAACTTTATACATTTGTTGAAATCGTCCAAGAGAAAAGCTGTATACATTATCAATGTTCACATTGTCAGAAATAAGCTAAAATTTATGTCTTAATATAGACGGAATTTATTTACAAATTTTTAAGTATATACTTAAGTGTTCTGTAATATATAGACGTAAAACATATAAAATTGAAACATAATTGAAATCAAATACACTTTTTTGACAGACAGATAAAGATAACCTATAAACACAGGTACTACACACTACAACAAAACTATCTAGATAAAAATCAATCTCTAAAAGGATAACAACAACGCCTAGAATTAAAATTTGTGAGTAAACGAACAATGAACTTCACACGAAATCTAAATTTGCGGATAAGTATTTTGTACCTGATTCTCCTGGTCTTCCTTGTTCCCCCTTTCTCTTTCTTTGGTCTCCCACAAATTGCGATTAGAAGTTCAAAATGTATATTTCGGTATTACATGTATCACCACATAATATGTAATTTAAGTTAAAATATCGTATAGCTTTGTAGAGTTTGTCATAAGAATGACAAATCTTAAACATTTGAAAAAAATGTTTTCTTTAAACAATGAAGTAATTTTAGAAAAAAACTATATACATTTGTTGAAATCGTCTAAGAAAAAAGCTTCATTAATGAACTCAAATTTACATACATTACAAATTTTTACAATATCAGAACTATGCTTCACGTCATATTATAGCCTTATTGTTTTTTTTTACAGTTTTTAAGTTTATATTTATGTGTACTGTAGTAAAAGACGTAAATCATATAAGATAGATACAAAACTTAAGTTAAATACAAAATGTTGACAGACAAAGATAACCAATAAACACATGAACTGTAAACTACAATAAACTTCCTCGACCAGGTCATGGGATGTAGGAAGTATATTTGTAACGATAAAAGAAAATCATACTCTTTTTTTTTTCTATAATATTCTCGATAGATTATTTAAACTGACTTCTAATAGAGTTCAAATCTCAACTAAAATAACTGAGTTCTTAAATTTGTGCGAAACTGAACATATTTACGCAAAATATTTTTACACGAATCCGACAAAATCTTCAAAACATCAAAACACTTACTTTGGGATATCACCAATCATGTACTTGATGTATCAGTTATTATATGCTTTGAAATAGCTTCAGTCACTTAAACTTGTACTCTTAGATCGATACTTCGAGTCTTTTGTTGGCATAGTAGTTGCTTAGTGTCGCCCAAATTAGTATTGTTTCATCTTTGAGAATATGAAGGAAACTGCACACACATTAAAACCCTGTTTACTTTGACTTACCTAGCATGAAATAAGTTACAGTCAAAACTAAGCCAGCAGATTAAAATGACACTGTTAGTGCCAAAATGAAAGAATAACCTCATGACACATTCTAATAACTGCTTATTTATGCTCGTCTTCACGTCCGAACTGTTATTATTCTGTATTTGTTTTATTATAGGAAGCCATTTACATTTAACACTCAATATTTTATGAATCACTAAATGTTGTATTACTAGCTTCCTATGAATTTCTAATAGCAATAATGACGTATTACATGTCAATAAATGAACAAATAACCATCATAGTTTTAAAGTTTTGAAGAAATACAATTTGATTCGGGCTTCGTAATTATTACTTAATCGTTACTGTTTATCATTAAATTTTACATCTAACGATATTGTTGTTATGTCAGGTTAAATATTTATTATGTGATTATTATTATATTCATAAGATGCCTACCGATATCGCCATTGCTAAAATGTATGATTCATCTTTCATGAAAATATGTGTTAGGTATACCAAAGCCGATTTTTCAAGGACGGAATTAACATATTCAGCCAATGTTTCCTTTTAAAAGTACTAACAAAGGACGTTTAATTGCTCGTCTGAATGTTTTGTGTAGTTTTGTTTCAGACAGTAGATTTTTCTTCATCCCATTATTCTGACGCCCCACTAGTCTTATATTTCCATTGTTCCAAGACATCACTAGCCTGGCAACCCATCGTTATAAAAAGATATCACTAGTCCGACACCCCATTGGTACCAATATTTTACGACATTCGAACATTGAGACAACAATTAATATCTCCTCTGTCAAATATATATCATTGTTTTTTTTTTTTTTTTTCTTCTGTATTAGCATAGACACATGATAATATACTGCAGTGGTCAACAAGACTTCAGGCTGACCTGTTATAAAGAATGCAAGTTTTATGAAAAATATAGAACAAATTAGTACATGTACATCTTTACTTCGGAAGTTTTTATGTACATGTATCAGTTCCCTTATTTCAAACCGAAATAAATGTCAAAAAGGATAGTGTTGATAAACACCGGCGGAAGATACAAAGGGGTCATACACAACTCTTAATTCGAAGAGGTACAGGGTCATGTTATTATTGTAATGCATGAACCTAGTGTGCAATATAGTTGATCCGTTGCTTAAGTATAGCTAGAGAAAGAGAAGTTAAAAAAACACATACACGTATAATTTCAGGATCTTACCTTAACTTATTTTGAAGCATTATCTGTAGTGAAAACAATCTATATGGCGAATACAAATTTGATTTGTTGATAAGTTGTTTAATTCTTTTCATTAATATGAAATTTCTTATCCAAATAATATTATACTAGTGGTACTTGTCTTTAAACAGTACCTTCGCACAAGCCGGGTTTTGAACCCTAAACCCATGACACTGATGACCAACTGATATAAAAGTTTTTTAATAAGTGAAGCCAATGGAAGACTATCATATATTTACTTGCTACGAAAAGCACCCTTACACTTCCCCACCTCGAAACTCTTCATACCATAAACGCGATATGCGTTCAAACTCATGTTTAACTAAATCAATATCTTGATTCTCTTCGGGTTTATTTATTGGAGTGGCAATAATTGAGAATGATTTTGTCATACAAAACTCTTAATTCGAAGAGGTACAGGGTCATGTTATTATTGTAATGCATGAACCTAGTGTGCAATATAATTGACCCGTTTCTTAAGTATAGCTAGAGAAAGAGAAGTTAAAAAAAACACATACACGTAAAAGCTCCATTATACCAGCTAGGGTTCAGCCCTGGACAACAGGCACAGTAAGATATCGACAAAACTAAATATGATGGTTGTATTGAAAATTTACAATGAAATGTTTCATGATTCTTTCACACGATAAGTTGATGTTACTCTCAATTAGAACATCACATAATAATGAATAAGCCAGTAAAGGCAAATTCTATCAATTTGTCTATTTTTTCCGGACCCTTTCCATCGAAAAAATAAATTTGTTTCAATAAAAAAAAAAGAATTTTCCTCTAGCGAGCAACATGAATTTTCAAAAGGTTTTTGTAAACAAATAAATGCAAGGAAAGGGATTTAACCCAACAAAAAAAATGCATCTTAATTCTTCGATTTATAATTTGTGTTTTAACAACATTAACGATATCCATTTAACTGCACCGGTTGCACATTTTGACAAACTTTTTGAAAATCCAAACCTTATTGAAAAATGAAGAGCTGATAAATTTAAAAGAACAAAAAGTATAGCCAAAGCTTTTCATGAGAGAGATATATTCCTCAATATAAAATATTTTCAGAAACTGTTGTATGTTCATGCCAGCAACGACAAACTGGCTACTGGACTGGTGATACCTTCGAGGATTAATAGTCCACGAGCAGAGTTATTGACCCAGTGGTAGTTATAACATTAACGGTGTCAACATGGTCAATTGTACTGGACCAGATGCACATTGACTGGGCTGTTGATACCCTCAGGGACTTACAGTCCGCCAAGCAGATATACCGTGTAGACCCATGATCTCGGATGTACCCCTGGTATTTTCATAGCATGATGATGGCTAGTGTTCCTAGCATTGAAGGTTATTTTCGCAAATCTCATCAGTCATACAGCTGGGTTATATCGGCGATACACATATATTTGTAAACCACGGTCATTATCGTCTAGATTATACATTGTTGATGTGGATACGGTTTCTATCCACTTGTAACCGTTACTGTTTTTAAAAAGAACATAGCTTCCTTTATACATGGCACCAGTGTAATTGAAGGTATCGCCATAAGGCTCGTGTGTATCATGTCGTTTTATCATAATTTCCCTGTGTTTTCCTGAATCGCTATCCGTATACAAACACCTCGTCTCCATCGAAGGTAAAGAGTGTGTACCAAGTGAAGATACCATAAAAGTTATTATGCAATCCGGATGAGCAGTCGGCGTTTACTGTATACTGAGTTGTCGATACTGCTTGGCCCGTATTTCAAACAATATGTAAATAGCTTCTTCCAAAGAAAATTGATAAGCAAACTAATCAGGCAAGGATTTAGCTGGCATGAGATCTGGTAGTATGGCTAGAATGTCTTCAATTTTTAATTTGTAGGCGCTAAATTTTGTGCCTCGACCATAAATTTTGCAGACTTAAGAGAGGTCTCGAATAATAATTTTCTAGACGATGTTTGCTTGGATGTCTTGCGTGGTCTCATAAATAACCTCTGCTAGCGCTTCCCGCTGCTTATGGTCATTTGTTTGCAGAAACGTCTTTGTATCTATGTCATGTTATGCTGATCAAAGCCCCATCGTGCTGAACAGTGTTGAGCTCTGATAGCACTTCATAGCGTTGAACAGTGTTGAACGGTATCATGTTGCACACTACCTTGCATTACAATGTGTTGAACGTTGTTTAATACTCCATAGTAGTGTACGGTGCTGACTGCTGCTGTATGTTAAACCTTTCATAGTGTGTTGAACGCTGTTGAACCGTGTTTAACGCTATTGAATGTTCAACAGAATTCAACGCCGTTGAATTTTGTTGAACGAACTCCTAATAGCTACTTAAAGCCGCCACTGAACTATACGTACGTTACGTTGACGACCATACAGTTTAAATTTCCCTGGTACCTCAGCTCTGAAAGCTACTAGTCCTTTAAGTACCCCATTTACAGCAGGTTGTTTTACAATCTTTGATATGTTTCCTTTCTTGTCTACGCTTCCAGTACAAACGTCTGATGAATTTGTCTCAAGAAACATGGTACAACGTATTTGGATAAAAGGTTCAACAGCAATCTTTTCAAAACACTTTATTGGCCATTGGTCATCACCCTTTATCAGTCAGAAACGCTAAACGATCGAGAAAATGTGACCGATAACGTCCGGCGACGAAAGACTTGGATGTGCACCGTTAGTAAAGATCAACAATTTTTCCCTAACACTTTACCGGAATCGTGCCGATATTACACAAACATTACACAAACGCAGACAGATCACTTGAACATTAACTGATGTTGACAAATAGAGTCGATCATGCATTATCTAAACAACAATGACTAGGCCACTTGAAACTCTGTACATGCTCGACTAGCTCGACCCTATCGACAACCCTACAGTCAAAGAAACAATGTATCGTGATATCAGTAGTTGACAAAACAGATAATGGCTAGAAAATAAATGTCTAGATAGACATAAACAATATCGGGTAGTGCCATAGGGTTGAGATGTGAAGCACTTAACAATGTCCTGGTTTTAGAGAACATATTACTAAACCTTTCAGTTTTCTATATAGTTATTTGGACTTTGGCGTTCATTTTGTCTTATCTTTTAGACACAATAAGTCCTTCTTTAATGATGAACATGTTCCGTCTAGGTTTCTCGTATTTCATATGTCATTTATGTATATCAAATTCTGTTTGTCAACAACTTTGTTCGAATCATCTTCATACATTGATTTCTTGAAGTCCTTGATATTTCCCCCTTAGTTTTGTGCTTTTCATTGAATGTGAAATACATCATAGTAGATGTAAAACATTTATTACAGGTAAAAACAATTCAAATTATATATTGTATATTATCTGCATAAATCATTCACGACGTCCTGTTCATTCTGAAAAAATGGTAATTACTTTTATAGGATTGAGAAGTTGTATGTTTCATGTTGAAAGTTGCGTTATGAGGTAGCAGGTTAAAATGCAACGTCGGTCTACTAAGCAGGCTATACGAATTAATCAATTTACGAAAATATACGTGTATATAATATTTGTAAAGAGTTTATGCTGACCAGCCGTTTGATTTTTATGACATTGGTTTGATTTATAGTTGTCGAAAACTCCACATCGCCATCTTCAGGTATATAATTGATATTTCATCGATAGGAAAATTGCATGTCTCAAGTTAAATAATGTATTGAAACTCCCTTTAAGAATGTCTTAAGTATTTTTGCGAAGTCAATGGTTTTTCAAACCTTTGTACAACCCAAAATTTAGAAGTAATTTTGTTTGTGTAGATCTTGTTTGCCTCTATATTTGAATTTGGTTTCCGATACCTTGTGTCATTTTTTCTCAACTCACTAGCAACATCCTGGTGAAAGTTTTTTCTCCGAAAGTATTACTAGCCCTGTAGTCACCAATCTATGTTAACATGAATTATCTTTGATTTGGTTATAATTATAAATTACCTAGAGCCTGTCCATCATATGATATGGGTTTGACGGTGTACATGATAGTGGATGATTTATATCAATTTCAGTGAAAACTTTACGACAAAAATCGATACATTTAGAACTATTGCTAAGATAAAAAAAATCTTTTGTATTAAGGTTCCTTTTCATTTGTATTAAAGTGAAAACAGTTCAACTTTTTTACTTTTTGTTTTTTTTCTGTATTTGAATGTATCAGCCTGTCAGCAATACGACTGTCTTTCTATATATTGTTATTTCATCTGCCCTGTTTCATTGTACGCCAACTAGTTTATAAATTTTTAACTTTGAAACAATACATGTGTTCCTATAAATTGAAAATAAGTTATAGATTGAAACATCCTTACCTTTGAAATGCAGAACAATGAATGCAACTGCCACTGATATACAAATCAACTGCATTACTGTCATGACCACAAATAATTTATCTCTTGTCCTAATTGCTTTATATAGGTCAGTAAGTTTATCCTTCCACGCATTAGTTGGGATACTATATTCGTGGTTTGATGCATTCAGGTCTTCCATCGGTAGTTCATATACGTTATCAACTTGTTCATTCATTTTTCTAATTAAAATTTTCGTTAGAATGAACTAAAATTATATTTACTTGTATACACGTTCCTTAAGAGTTTCACCTATCATGCCTATATCTAAATACATTTGTTTTAGCTTTAACATGTTTCATTGTAATGAACGTAATATAACATTTTTATGTCAAATTACACATATTTGAGGATCTGGATGGGGTCCTTCATTTCTTTATTATTTAAATTTGTACACCATTGTTCCTTGTTTATTTTCAACATTATGCTATAGAGAAAGTCAAAATAACTGTCCGTTCATGGGAATAATAAAGCGGAGGCCCCGTAGGATAATTTTCTGTTTATTTACCCCGTGATGTACCCAATAATCCACAGGCAAAATTTAAGATCCAACTTACAATCCATTCACTTAAGGAAGTATAAATGAACAGTAGAATGATTACTATAAAAAGATCTTGAATTAAGTTCATCCAAAATTATGTTTTTAATCATTGGATACGCACATCATTCCTTATAGAGATGTTGCAGAACTGAAATATTTGAATACGTATACGTATCTAAGTATCCATATAGTGCGATACAGTTAAAATGAGTATTTTTTTTTGTCTGACCCGATGACTCGATCAATGTATTGATTGAATCAAATAGTGGTATTTTGCCAGGTGTACTAGGTTTCGACTTTATGCATAATTTTTATGCAAAGCATTGAAGTACTGAAGAATGATATTTATAGATATAAATCAGAACAAAATGTAACTTCGAGATTCGAGTGTACCTTACTACTTTCGAGTGCACTTTTACTACTAAAGAAAACCCCCTCAACTTGTGTAGTTAAAAAATTCTGCCGTTTCCTATGTATTAATACATTGAGTAAGATTCTAGAGAACAAGATCATTTACTAGGCATTTTCACAAGACAAATCTAGGCGAAATGTTTAATTATCCTACTTGGCTATTTATAATTCATGCAGGCATGCAAACCTGGACCATTTTATATCGTGCAATGTGCTACGGTACATCTTTATGTAGTTAAACAATGTGTGAGTATGTTAATTTGCTTACTTATCCCTAAATAGTTACTGTATTTGTCTGACGGAATTCAGAAAAAAATTAAATCGTCTTTAAATTAATTAAATATAATTCGTAACAAACAACTGATTTTGGTAGGTCATATCATTTTGGATCTTAAAAATGCATACATAAAATTACATTGAAATAAGTTTATTCATAAATGAAAGAGATTGCTCTGTTTAAAGCATTTACTCGTATCTCTGTCCCGGCAACAGCATTAAAAAAAATACTTAAAATTGGTTATAACCTTATCATGTTCAGAAAGTCAGGTACACCTTTTATTATTCAAGCGTGTTTGGGTCGCCTGTTTCGTCTTTTAAATATATAATACAGAAACAAAGAGTATATCATCTCGCTTCAAATTCTATTATTTTTATAATTTACAGCTAAATTAAATTAATATTCAAATTTCATTTACTAGAAAACAAAATATATGAGTCAAGTGAAATATCGCTGTAATGAGTCATCATAACAGGGTAGGCGTGTTTGAATATACAAATAACCTTGTGCTAAATTGTTAAACGTCTTATTGGCAAAGGCATTTCATTTGACTAATTATTAAAACAAATTAAATGCAGACTAATTATATTTTTTTTACTTTAGAATAGAAGTCTGACATTCATCCCTTTCTTCCCTTTTTATGCCGAAAAACTTGACGAGCCTTTACTGTTGGATCTTAAAAATGTCCTTTTTATTAATGTTTTCAGTAACTTCTAGCCTTCAACTTTAAAATGTTCTTGTCCACCCTTTTACGAAATATTTGTACAGTTTTTACGTATATTTTTCAAAGCAAAAACTGATTTTTGTCAATAATAATCTCTCGTCGTTGAAAAAAAGGTTTTCGCTCTACAATTCACAAGGAAACAAATTCTTTATCCCAGTGTACCCTACCTTACAATACCTACCTATTTGATTTATTGATAATTTTTGTACGTCTTCAATAATGAAATATTTTCCACTAGACATTAAACAAATAACAATCAATCATGATATATACATGATATAGGTATCTCTGTATATAGTGGGATTTACTGAATTTAAAGATTTGTTAGTAAATGAACAGATATATAAGGCTGTTGATTTCTTGCGCTTTAAAATGTTGTGCTTAAAGGGAGCAATTACGTTTTGCTCTCCCTACCATTGAGAGTTATGTTACACACCTGACACACCACCCTATGTTCCATTGTCTGTTTTTATATTGTCCTCCTTTTTAAAGCGGTTCATGTTGATTTTAACAGCCCCCCCTATTTCACTCACTTCAGAGATTGAGTTATACGTCAAATAAGTCCTGGGAATATTCCATTTTACTCCACGTACTATGTACAACATTTGATTGGTTGAGTTAAACAGTAAACTTTGTGGATACAGCGGATACGTTAGAGGAACATTCCATTTGTGATGCTGTTATTTCATTGGTTGTTCTATACGTATAAGAAGCTTCAGAGGAAGGTTCCATTTTATGTGTCGTGCTTATCAAGCGGACCTTGCTCGGATTCAATTATTCGTCATCTGATTGGCTTAGCTATACGTATATTGGTTTACAGAAACTTTTCCGGAATATTCTATTCTAAGTCTCTACGGACTGATATGCAATCATTCTTGGTTTATGATTCACTTGATCAATTTTTGAATGTTTAATATAATAATCTGCAAATTAAGCGTCAGAAATGTAAAAATAACAGAATCTTAAACATGATTCTATGTTTGATAACATTGAACAATGTTGAATTCAAACATGCCTTAATTCAAAAGTTAAGAAAGTTGAGCACACTGTCATGTTTCCGGAAATGAAACGGAGTTCACGTCTTTGTTTTTTTATTTACTGGTTATATACACTTATTTTTATATCCGGCACGTTTGGTAAATTTGTTAAAGCAAACTTTTGTACAATTTCTCATGAAATTTGTAACTTCACGACACCAAAGCGTAAGTTAACTTGTAGCATATTTTTCTTTATATATGTATAAACCTTTTCTGACAAGTATAATATTTTTAAGTCTTTCTAAACAGTTGACAAACATTCTTTTTGGTCTTTTTTACATGAATTGTTTATCATACTTTTTTTTACATTAATTCTTAAATCCCGCGTGCTGATTTGTATTTCCTTTGCTTTGATTAAGATGTTTTCTCTTGAAAAGTATTTAATTTGCGTTTCTTTGTTATTGTAAATTATTCACTTCGATTCGTGAAAAAAGGCGACTATTTTCTACTGTAAACCTACAAGCACATGTGCTACTGTTTTTTTAATGTAACCGAATTATTTGATTGCATCTATTATGAACTTTGAATTTGCTTAGACTATTATGATAATCATTGTATGGCACAAGTTGAATATTGAACACTTCATTTAACAAAAGAAAAAAGATGATTTAAAACCAAATATTGTGTTTTTAGTATTGATAATTTATTGTGTACTGTCATGCTAAATTTTTGTAATGCTTATTGTTAGTAAGAATTGCTTATTTTGTATTTTTCAGTTTTTCACCCTCTCCGGAGGTTTGTTTATCAAGTAAAGAATTTGAAGTTTTATTAGTCTTTCTTGTGAGCCATAACAGTGAAGAAGCTTCGACCAGTTGTGACAATGGCAACCTACTTAGAACTAAAACAGCATGAACAGATAGACGTCACTCAGATAAAACCGAGTCGTTCAGTTTCAAACCACAGTCACTTATCAAGTAAATCTGATATATTAATCAAAAAGCACAATTAGAGACGAAGGTTAAATACAGTGCAAAGCAGGCTAATTTTATAAGACAAAAGGCAGCCCTAGAGGCAGACTTAAGTATCCTGCAGATTAGGGAAGACACTGAGTTGTTAGAGTCCGAGATTAGGATATTGGAAAATGAGTCCACGGTAGGAGAGGATGACGATTTAGACTTTGTATCTGAAGTTCAAAAAGAAAGAACAAAAGAATACGTTCAAAATCTATATATACCAGTTACGAAACCAATTGCAATAGTGAATACACCAGAACAGCAATCTGCACAACTTAGCGCATTTGCGAATGCACCTACACCATATGTGCCTCCTGATGTTAACAACAATAATTCGCAAATTGAACTGTGTAATTTGATCACAAAGATGATGACTCGGAAGGATATTGTTTTATCACGACTTGTCAAATACAATGATAGCCCTTTTCAGTTCCTATCTTGGAAAGAGACATTTAAAGATGTTATGAAAGAACTAAGTGTGACTCCTTCAGAAGAGTTAGATCTTCTCATAAAATGGCTTGGTCCAGATTCAGCAAGACAAGCGGAAAGTATCAAAGCTGCCAGTGCTAGTGACCATGTTTGTGGTTTACACAAAATTTTGAACCGCTTGGATGTTCGGTATGGAAGTCCAGAATTGATTGAGCAATGCTTGAAAACCAAACTTGCTTACTTTCCGAAGTTAACCAATACTGCCAAAGATTATGAACGCCTGTATGAATTATATGACATATTATGTGAAATCCAATTTGTTAAAAACAATCCACAATATTTACAAGTTCTCGCTTATTATGACTCTTCAACTGGCGCTAATCAGATCGTAAATCGTCTTCCTCATAATTTACAGGAAAAATGGTCAACAGAAGCTATAAAATACAAGAAAAGGCACAACATGTTGTTCCCGCCATTCTCATTCTTTGTTGACTTTACTTACGACATGGCAATATGGCGTACAGATCCTAGTTTTCAGTACGCTCCTCAGACGAATAAACCTTCTAATCCTGCTAGTGTGCAATCTAATTTGCGTGTATCTACTAGAAAAACTGATGTATCCACAACAGATGAAAAGATATTTGTCCTATTCATGGCACAAATCACGATCTCAATGAATGTAGAGCCTTCCGTCAAAAGCCAATGATTGAACGTGTGGACTTGTTAAAGAAAAACAGGCTTTGGTTTCGTTGCTGCAGTCT